CCCCAAAACCCCAAAACCCCAAATGTCTAAAATCATTTTCTAAGTTTGACTAATAAATTAAAAAAGATATTATATCTATTTTCCAAAAGCATTATCTATTCACAACTCCTTACTAGCCTTAAGCATTAAATAATAGCTAGCAGTGATGTAGTTTTTTATGTCTTATTTTAAGCAATCCATTATGAACTGCCTTGGTATCCCTTGTTATTCAAGTTTTTACAAAATATTCTCATCAATTATATCTCTCTGTCTTCTCTATTCCTCATCCATATTATCATCTAGCTCTATCTGAAATATACTTTCCAACAGATCATCTTCAATTTCCTTATCTCTTGCCTTTTAATCTTCTGACCTGTATGTCAGATGCCTAGAGATTCTCAGAAATATATCGTTCTAAGTCATCTATCTAAACTTTCTCTAATTTTCAAGCTTTACATGCAGTTGCCTTTACTTTTTCATATAAAACTTATCAAATTTTTCTACTACTTAGTGATTGAAGCCGATTGCATTTTATAGAAAGCTTGCCTTACCAGAAAAGTACTTATCCCCGTCATTATCACTTAAGAATTTGTGATCATATTAGTCTACTGGCAAATCTTTATCTTGAATTATACTGTTGTTGGGTGATAGTATTTGTGATCTACAGTGGTTGATCAAATCATCTTCGTAGAACTCATATTTATCATAGTTCTCATCAAAATATATCGTACCATTTGAATTTATAGAGTGCTCATTCTCACTGAAGTAATCACCATCATCATCTCCATCTTCATTAGAGTAAAGACTTTCGAACTTTGACTTATTACTGTTGAATCTCTGGTCTTCACCCAAATTATTAAGGTTAATATCAATCTTAACTACCTATCTGAGTACCCAAGGATGATTGATAATCTCTTCAATAGTTATTCTTTAGTAAGTATTGATAGTTAACAGCTGCTTGAGAATGTCTTTGCATTCATCTGATAATTCTGGGTCTATCCTAAGATCGTAGTTTTTATCATTCAAGTACTTTATAATGTCTTAGTAAGTATTCTTAGGGTATGGGTAGGCACCATGTAGCATATAGTAGAGTAGAACTCCTACAGACCAAATGTCGTGCTAGTAAAAACTCTAAGAGGGAGATTTCAACAAGATCTCTGGAGCCGTGAACTCAGTTGCTTCTTACTGATTTTGATATTTCAGCGTGTTTAAATAGTCTTGCTTTGCTGATTTATACAGGTAGTAACGGCCAAAATTCCTAAGCTGGAGTATCATGCTCTTGTGAGTGGAAAACACAAAGCTCTCCAGATTTATGTTTCTATGGGCTATCTTCTTTATTTTCAATTGCAACAAGCAAAATGCTATCTGCTTGAAGAAGAATTAAGCTTGATATTCTTTTAGCTTTTGATGATAGTCAATAACTTCCTTGAGATCATGTGAAGATATTGGGTCCTCCACATATATCATTATCTGGTCCTTTCTTGATTCAAACTCTTCATAAATTCTATTCTCAAATAATCAAATAACTAACTTACTTTTGTATAAATCTAGATTTGAGATATTTGCGAATCTCTACATCTCTTTTGAATGTTTCCTTGTAACTATCGACAGTCCTCATTGTCATCAGAGACACTTCTTTGTTGCCTAGTATACTCCAGCCTTTTCTTATCCTAACCAAGTTGCTATTTTCCTTCCTAATGATCTTACCCAACTTATAGAAGCACAGCTCACTCTTCACCTTCTTACTTAAATCAGTCTCATTAATGTTTTATTTCAGCTGTTTCTTGATATTCTTGACTAGGTATATCCGAGACAGCTCTTTAATGCTCTGCCTCTTGTCCTTATCTGTTTGTTGAAACATGTTGTTGTCACTCTTAAATTCAAACGTGACTAAATCCTAGAATTACTATTGAATATTTTGTTGATCTTGGTTTGCCTTTTCAGCAATAGCCTATCTATGAGAAAGATGTAGAGATTGATTCTACTAAAAGGGTATCTATAGATTTTATATTTAGGATTAGGATTGTTGCAACTAATCATTTACATCCTCCTCAACTGTACCCTCGTTTATTGTTTCTATGTCATGCTGTTCACTAAATCTCTTTTGCTTAATGATGTCTGAAAGGGTTGAACCTCCAATTTATGAAAAGAATTCAGAAGATTGCTTGATACTATCTCTCTTGCGTCTAAATTTCTCAATAATTCTGTGATCCTTTTCGGTTATCAAAAGCCCTTTTAAGGGCGAGCCATCCTTCATTGATTTTGATTTGTTGATCTAGATATTGAGACTTTGTAAGCCATTACTTTCTTGTCTAACTACATCAACATCTATTATTGATTGAATATCTTCATTTAACTGACTATTCTCAACGTTTGCCTCGTGAGGGGTTTCATTATCCTAGTTATATGTTTGCTCTAAACATACTTCTTATGAAATGATCTGGGAGTTCTCATAGTTTTAAACATTAATCTCATATGGAGTCTCCTAAGTTAAGGTGTTAGATGTCCTTCTGACTCTCAATTGGGACTTAAGCTGTTTGCGACCATCAAGATTATTTTCTAGGGTCTCATTAGAGTTTATATTAGAAGATTGTCTATAATTCAGTCTCTTTTCAGTATTGGAGCATATACTCTACTCTATATTTAAGATAAATAATATTAATTACCTGTGTTATCTCCTGTGCCAGTTCCTCCAGTATGATACTATAACTAGATGCTAGTTTGAATGTTATTATTATTAATCTGTTAAGTCAACTTCCTTAGTTTCTTCAGCTAATTAATCTATTTTTGGATCTGTTGATCTAGTCTTCCTGTATCAGCTCCAGCAGACACAATCTCATTTCGAATTTACTCTACGATTGAGAGGTTATCCTAGCTATTCTAAGTATCCATATTCTCAGAAGTGGTTTGCTGTCTACGAGGACTTAAATAAAAAGGTTACGTTGTAGGCAACGCGTAGTTGGTTTTAGATAGTAGTGATGTGTGTAGTTGCTGCTAGTTTTAGAATTACTATTAAAGCCTATTCTGATATTCTATTGGTGTCATATTTTAAGATTACCCAAGGATCTAGTTGTTAATGATCATCCTAGGTGATTATTTATCTATCTTATATATATCTAAGACAGGGTTACGCTTCTTTGCTTTATTGCTCTAAGAAAGATTTTTAAGCTGCTGTTATGGAATAATAAAACTCTCAGATTCGTTTAGCTTTTGAAGTCTCGGATACTGGGTGATGATTTAAGCTAATGATCCTTGATTCGATGAGATTGTTAATTGAGAATTCTAAGATAGTTTCCTAAATTGAAAAGTACCCATGCTCTTATTCATTGGGCTTATTGATGTTTTATTTAGCCTTTCATTCATTACTTTATCTATTTATTCCAGCTGTGTTTCAATTTTAACTTATTATACTCCATAATCCTAATTGATACCTTTAAAAAAGTTAGTTTTAAATAATTGTACTGGACTTACCAGACTATTTTTGGCTAAGTGCACTTGGTAGTTTGAACGACTAGTTTGGATTTGAAAGCACTTGAGTATTCTTAAATTTTGAGTGGCTTGAAGGAGTTTAAGCCATTGTAGATCATAAATTATTACTAACTGCTTCTTGAAAGTTAAATACCATACCTAGAAATTTCTAAATAAAAGAGTATTACTTTTATTTATTGGGAGGAGGTTGTTGTTATTGTCTATATAAGATTTATTCCTTAGTATCCTAGCTACAGGGGCTACCCCAGGCCTCTAATTTCTTGAAGTAGTTGGGTCTAAACATATCTTATTCTTTATGTGGAAGGAGTCTTTGGGTGATATTTAATCTGGCCTCGTGTACATCTATTATAGCTGCTGGAATTAGTTAATCCTCATTAAGTCGCTACTACGCACGTCTTTTTAACTAGCAGCTCTGTACCTGTTTATCTTCTATTGATATTTACTAGCCAGAGCTTATTTCTAATTATTTTACGGTGTATTGTACTAGTTATAAATCTATATAAAGCTCAGCTGCTACCTATTTTTAGTAGAATTTGGCTCTTTGATTTCTATGTTCTACTTGTCAAAATCGGTCACCACTTCACCAACTCTGCCATTACTGCTAGTGCAAATTAACTTGTTAGAACCAATTTCGATTTGAGGCGCTTCTAATTAGGAAGGATATTAAGACTGCAATATGAGCTATTTTATTGGGCTGTTTCTATGAAACTTCTCTTGACTCTTGCAAGCTCTCTTATGATTCTAGGTTTAATTCAAGATTTTGGTATCACTGATCTGATTAAGTAGATCAGCATTCCTTACTATTTTCTTCATTAAATTAAACTTAATATTAAATAATTCAATTATCCGATAAACTTAAGCTTATTTTACATTCTATTAAAATATATCAATATTCCTCATGCTACCAATCACTTATAATATTTAACTCATGGGGTTTTGGGGTTTTGGGG